GAGGAGGAGGAGGAGGAGGAGGAGGAGAGGAGGGTAGGACGGTAAGCCCATGGGGATCTGGGGGTATGGGTCGGTTAGGCGGTGCCCGGCCTTCTGGACCAGGGCGGGGGCGTAGTCCGCCGAGCCCCGCCCGCGGAGGCCCGAGGCGTTGGAGCTCGAGCGGCGTGCCCGCGGTGAGCCCTGCAGGAGGAGGGCGGGAGGAGGGAGGGAGGGAGGAGGGATAGGGGGAGGGAGGAGGGATAGGAGGAGGAGGAGGAGGAGGAGAAGGGGGAGGAAGAGAAGGAGGAGGAGGAGGAGGAGGAATGGAAGGGAAGGAAGAGGACGAGGAGGAGGAGGACTTCCAGGACTTCCGCCACTGCGTAACGATAGCCAGGCTCAAAGCTCAGCTCTTCGGAAATAGACCGCGACGGACTCTGCTTAAAAAACTCGCGCCTGGCCTTCGAAGCGACATCGTGCACGGATCTGCCAGCCCTCTGAGTTGGGCTTGACCGGAATACACGAAGCAACCACAACACCACAAGCATATACCTTGATGGAAGATGGCTTCGTGCGATGCAAGGGCCCAGCCCCGGCCAAGTGTAGACCCCGTCCTTCTGAAACTCTCGCTGACGAGTCACTCACATGCAGGAGTTGGAGGCAAGCGCTATTGAACCATCCAGGCACAGTAAACTTTGTCGCAGACCCTCTACACACACTGCAAGCCCGACCGAGGAATGTCGACCCTGCAACACAAGTAGTTTGCCGATCTCTCGCTCAGAGTCAGCCCGTGGCCCCTTTCTGGCCCGTGAGAGAGCTGAGCATGCCATGCCCTCGCAACGCCGGAGCAAACAGCAACATGAATAAGCACCCCGACGGTATCTCGAAAAGCCCACAGAAACGCTGACAACTCCCCCCTCGGGACGCTATGATGCGGGCCAGAGGGGGAAGGGGGGGCGACGAGAGGTACGAACCAACAGCGGTAGGAGCAAAGCAACCCAAAGTGGCGACAGCGAGGTCTACCCTACGAAGCCCGGCGCCATGAGTGCCCTTACCCCAAGAGGCGTCGCCGAAGACGATCACAGGGGCCCCAGAGGAGCATTGTCCGAGACACCCGACTACGATGCACCCGCCCCCCCCAAAAAAACCCAGACACGTGTTCTTCCGAGGGTGGCGGTGGTGCCTGGGTCCAGGCAGCGGGTATAAGACCCCTCACCCAAAAACACGAGAGCGCTTCAGCCGCAGCGATTGCTTGACGCACTATCCCACAGGAGTCTTCATAGGCCTCGGACAGGGAGCTGGCTTTTGCTCAACAACTCCAACATCGATGCAGAGGTGTGTCTCGCTCTTTTCCGCACCTCAAGCATCGATCACGACCGCGCAGCTTTGCCTGGAAACTCCCTCCTCGCGCCCAAAAGCCATTGGTGGCGACGGAAACGCGTAGTTCTGAGAGTTGCCATTCCTTGCGCACGCCGTGAAGGTCGTGCGCCACATTGCGATTCGATGCCACATCGGTCCCACCTTCGAGGCCATCACCAAAGCAGAGCGCTGCTGCATCCCAGAACTCCTTCAGCTCCAATGGTACGCTGCAGCTCGTCAACCAATGGGCACACCTGGTTCAGCGCCTCGAAGTCGTTGCGGTGGAACTGCCACGCGCGCGGCTTCGAGGCACCATCACTCGGCACCTCCCACTCTGTTGACGAAAGCGGCGACCAGCCAGCCCCTGGTATATAAAAGTGGCACTGGTCATGGGGCCTCGGACACGCCTAAACCTGCGGTTGGCAAGTGTTCAACCGCCAAAGACCACGCTCAATGCATGGGCGACCGTGGCGCGGCGCCCGTCAGCCACGCGCTCGGCCGTTGCGAAGTGCATTGCCGCAGCAGCCCGGCCAAAATATCGCGCCCGGATTGCCTGGGCGCCAGCGGGGTGGCGAGGCACCTCCCGCGCTCGCAAGGCCCAGTCGCTGCGCCCGGCCGCCGCCGCCGCGCCTGCGTCGCCGAGCCAGATTTCCCGTGCGCGCGATAGCCATGCACGGCAGCAGCTTGCGGGCCGCTCGTTGGGGCCTGGCCGATACCTTTCAGCGCCGCGCAGCTGGCGCGAGGCGCCGCTAACGCCCATGGGCCTTGCTCGCCATCGGCGCCCCCTGTCTGACCGCGGCACGGCCGGGCCAAGTCGACCCCGAGGCGCGCAGACTGCAGCGCGGCCATCAGCATCGCCTCCATTCATCTCGAGGACGCGCTGCACAAACCCCGCGTCGGCGAGGCACGAGCGCGCGACGACGCCCCTGTCCACGATGGCCAGATTCAGCTTCCTGCACAGCCACGCTTCGGACAGCGCGCCTTTGCGGATCGCGGTCCGCGCGCTCTGAATGAAGCCTGCGAACCGCCGTGACAAGTCGTCGATCCAGACGCGCTCGCTCAGCGTCGGGCGCGCGATGAACAGTCGCTGACGCACGGGCGCCACCGAGCACTCGGCGGACGTCGCGACGTGAACCCGACGAGCGGCAGGCCTGGAACGGCTCGCTGAATGGATTGAGCTGCCCCAGCACGCGCGGGGCCAAGCATGTCCGGAGCTCCGGGTGCAGGGCGACTGCGGAGCAGCCCTTCTCCAGCGCGCATAGCGCGAGGGGCTCCCGCTCGATCGAGTCTCTGAAGGGGCCCATGTCAACCGCTGCCTGGCCGCGCGGCAGCCTGAGGCGCGCGTGGACCTCGCCCTGCAACGCGCGCGCGCCTCTCGCAAGGCGCCTTTGCATGCGATGGCTGCGCCCTTGTGATCGACCTCGGCCTGCGCCGCCGGCCGCTTCTTCGCCTGCCCCCCCCCCCCCCCGAGCCATGGGCCGGACTCGACGCTACGCGACGATCAGGCCAATGGCCCGATCGCCCCCCGATCTCACACCGATGGGCTTGCCGATCGCGCGCGAGACGCACCGCGGACGTGACGAGCCCTTCTCCCCCATGCGAAATACATCTCAGAACGATTGCATTCCGTCGTCAGGAAGGCGCTCGGAGTCCGCGGGCGAGAGTCCATCTACCCCCATGCCCACTCGCACCGTCGCGCGAGTCCAGGCTGCTCGCGCATCGCCAATCACTAACAAGTCAAGCTATTCTACTGCCGCGCGTTCTCCGAAGGATTCCAGGACGTTCAAGGCCGAAGAACTGGCAATGACATCTGGACTGCTCAGCTTGTGGAATGCCACTTTGCAATCGGCAGTATCTTTTGGGCGCGCCAGAACGCCTGCACCAGGGCGCCGCTTATCCCGCTCAGAATCTGTGTCCTTGATAAACTTGCGTGCTGCGCCCTGCGCGTCGATGCTGCTAGATCACTGCTGGAAAACCCTGTCGCGCGCCCATCGAGGAAAATTGAAAGCGCCCTCTTCCCACGACGCCAGGTCGCCCACAGCAAGATCACCAACCCCCCCGAGGCTCTGCAACAGATCAGCCCAGAAATGCCCGCTCGCAGGGTGCGGAAAGATACCCAAGTTGAATGCTGACGTGGCTGCGCTTCCGGCGCCGAACGCCCGCTGAAATTCACTGTGAACTCGCGACCGCCGCGCCGGGGCCGTCTCGGAGCGGCCCCTGGCGCGCGCGCGCGGCCTGCAGTGATTGCTGGGGCGACCCCCAAAGTGCGGCCGGCGGCGGGGGGCCGCCGCGGGGCCCGCCGATCGTCGCGCCCGGCCATCGCGGCCGCCGCCGCGGACGCCCACCGCGCGAATGCTCCGCTATATGGGCAGCGCGCATGCCGAGCGCCTGCCCGGACGGCAATCGACTGTTCAATGAGGGGCAAGGCGTCGTGGACAGGATGCGACGTCCAGGGAGATGGAGCCAATTTGGGGATCTACGACGACGCAGGGACGGCAAAAGACGGGGGCGAACCAGGAGACGCAACAACAACGGCAGGAGCGAGCTCCTCCGCGCCTCCGCCTTGGGGGGGCGCCATTCCTAGGGCGCCTGGTCGCGGGGGGCATTATCCGCGCTGGCCTGGCCCTGCCTTCGCAGGCGCGGCCCGCCCCAGGAGCGCGCCCCTGCTGACTCACAACAATCGCTACAAGGCGAAACAACGACTCGTGGGCACAAGAATCACCCCCCCCATCAGCCCCGGAAAATTCCGCGCCGCCCGCGGCCTCATCCTGCAACCCATCGACATGCGACGGCCCGCCAGGGATGGGTTCGAGATCTCTGGAGGACTCGGCTGCGGGGCGCCTGCTGCTGAACAAACATCACCGAAAAAGCTCCTCACACTCGCTGCGCAAGCAATTTTTGTTCCTCTCAGCTCGCTCGGCCGCCTCGACACGTTTGGCGGCCGACTTCGACGCCGCCGACGCTACAGTGGAAAGGCGCGTCACCTGGAGCAACCTCGGGGCCGCCTGCAGCTCTCGCCGTTGACCAGTCCCTCGCAATCGCAGACCCAGTCCGATGTGAGGCGCCCACGGTGTACCAACGATTCCACTGACACTCAACATGTAGGGCCAGCACGATTCCGAAACCAGAACGACATCAATGTGCGAACTGCCTGCAGCCCTGACGCGCGCATGCCCAAACCCTGCGCGACGAACGGCTCCACCACCACGACTGCAGAATGCCGACCTTTGGAAACTGCCGACGTCGATGTTGAAGCCACCGGTTCCTAGGCATGACAATATGGCTGCGGGCAAGTATGCACCTAACCTCGAATATCCCTCAGCATTGAAACCAATACTGCCAACTGATGGATGCGCCTGAAATGAAGTCGCAAGCATCGGTAATCCAGACATGTGAACCAGCGTGGGTAAACTACCCGTCGAGAGAGTCGAACCCCTTTTCCACACTCCGCACATTAGCAACTGGCCGCGTCCCGAGGCTTGCCAAAGCAGGATGTACTGCTCGGTGTCCTTGGGCTAAGCATCTCCCCGCCCTCGCAAACTCGCCCCACAGCGGCCTCCGAAGTGCCTCTTTCTGTAGCCCGGACAAGATTTTCAAAGCACATGAACTTGCAAGCCCTTGTACGTTCGAGCCCACGTCGCCCTCGAACGGGCGCTGACCTGCGTCTCCACCACCCCGGTGTACCCATACTTGGCGATGGTAGAGCTGACGCTCAAGTAGCCCCAGGCCATCGTGCGTAGGGTGGTCATGTTGCTGAAGAACATGCCACCGGGCGGCTCCTGCTCTTCAGCCCCCGACAGAAACCCATACTGCGGTTCCAGCGGGTGGGTGCCGACGGGCGCCGCTGTTCCCGCCGCCGCCGCTGAGCTTCGCTTCGGCGCAGGCGCGTCCACGGCCTCCTCGCCAGCCTTCTGGCCCTCGGCCGCCGCGCAGCGGGCCTTGTCCAAGTCCTTCTGGATGGCGTCCCCCGATGGCAACCCACGCGAACCGCAAGCCGCCGCCGTAGTTGCCGCGAGCTGGCCGCTTGCCCAGCCGCCGCCATACCCCCGCCGCCTGGCGCCGACGCCCCCCCGCCTGGAGCCGCCGCCAACCCAACCGCCGAAGACTAGCCGTCGATGTTCTTGGCGCCCGCGAGGAAGAGGAGCGGGGAAGGAGGAGGAGGAGGAGGGGGAGGAGGAAAAGGAGGGAGGACGGAGCAGGGAGGAGGGAGGAGAGAGAGGAGAATGAGGAGGAGGAGGGAGGACGGAGGAGAAACAGGAGAAGCAGGAGGAGGAGGCGGGAAGAGGAGGAGGAGGAGGCAGAGGAGGAGGAGGGAGGAGGAGGAGGGAGGAGGAAGGAGGAGGAGGAGGAGGAGATGAAGGAGGAGGAGGAGGAGGGAAGAGGAGGAAGAGGAGGAGCAGGAGGAGGAGGAGGAGGAGAAGGGCCTCACCTCACCTTCTCTCCCTCCTCATGAGGTCCGTCGCTTTCCTCGGTCCAGCCCTGTCGGGTTTTCCTTCGTTTCAGCTTCGGGGGTCTGCTCCAGCGCTGGTGCCACAGAAGGCCGACCCAGGCCCCCCCAATCAAGACCCCCAGGGGAAGGGGCCGGGAGCTCTGGGAACTCTGGGCGCCAGGCCGCTGGCTGCGAGCATCGGCTACTCAATCCCCAGACATCCGAGCAGGGCTCTGGCTAAAAACAATGTTTGTCGTTTCCGTTATGTCTTCGCTTTTCCTCGTTCTGTCTTCGTTGCGCCTTTGCTGCGAAGCGGAATCAAAACTAAAACGGTCCACGAGATCGCCCAAACTCCGTTTAGCTTGAACCCAGCTCTAAGGTGGCTTCCTCGAAGGCTCCCGCTCGCACGACGTTAGCGCTACGATTGGCCCTCGCGTCCTCTCTGCGGAGGCCCCGGGCGGCAAAACAACGCAAATAAATAGACACAAATCAAAGCATTTCCCATCTCTTTCCATATTTTCAGGGTTTTCGCCTTCCCCCCAATTCCAATATTTCCCAACCATCCTGTGGTGTTGGGTCCTCGTTTTGAAGAGACGGTGCCCCGCGTTCCCTCCTTCTCCTCCTCCCGCTGCCCCCTCCCTCCTGCCATCATCATCATCATCGTCATCATCATCATCGTCATCATCAACATCACCATGATATTCGGCGTCATCATCAGCATCACCCTCCGCATGTCTCTACTTCGGCACACCAATCACACGGTTCATAGGGAGCTTCATTTTGGCGCACCCCTCACACGGTTCGTGACCCCATAGGGAGCTCCACCGAAGGCCCCAGTGGCAGGGTTCGCATGGCGGCCCCGCACATTTTGGCGCACCCCTCACGAGGATCGTGGCCCCATAGGGAGCTCCACCGAAGGCCTCAGTGGCAGGGTTCGCATGGCGGCCCCGCCTCCTTTTGGCGCACCCCTCACACGGTTCGTGGCCCCATAGGGAGCTCCACCGAAGGCCCCAGTGGCAGGGTTCGCATGGCGGCCCCGCCCCATTTTGGCGCACCCCTCACACGGTTCGTGGCCCCATAGGGAGCTCCACCGAAGGCCCCAGTGGCAGGGTTCGCATGGCGGCCCCGCCCCATTTTGGCGCACCCCTCACACGGTTCGTGGCCCCATAGGGAGCTCCACTAAAGGCCTTCAGTGGCAGGGTTCGCATGGCGGCCCCGCCCCATTTTGGCGCACCCCTCACACGGTTCGTGGCCCCATAGGGAGCTCCACCGAAGGCCCCAGTGGCGGGGTTCGCATGGCGGCCCCGCCTCATTTTGGCGCACCCCTCACACGGATCGTGGCCCCATAGGGAGCTCCACCGAAGGCCTCAGTGGCAGGGTTCGCATGGCGGCCCCGCCCATTTTGGCGCACCCCTCACACGGTTCGTTGCCCCATAGGGAGCTCCACCGAAGGCCCCAGTGGCAGGGTTCGCATGGCGGCCCCGCCCATTTTGGCGCACCCCTCACACGGTTCGTGGCCCCATAGGGAGCTCCACCGAAGGCCTCAGTGGCAGGGTTCGCATGGCGGCCCCGCCTCATTTTGGCGCACCCCTCACACGGTTCGTGGCCCCATAGGGAGCTCCACCGAAGGCCCCAGTGGCAGGGTTCGCATGGCGGCCCCGCCTCATTTTGGCGCACCCCTCACACGGTTCGTGGCCCCATAGGGAGCTCCACCGAAGGCCCCAGTGGCAGGGTTCGCATGGCGGCCCCGCCTCATTTTGGCGCACCCCTCACACGGTTCGTGGCCCCATAGGGAGCTCCACCGAAGGCCCCAGTGGCAGGGTTCGCATGGCGGCCCCGCCCCATATTGGCGCACCCCTCACACGGTTCGTGGCCCCGCAGGGACATAGAGAGCTCCACCGAAGGCCTCAGTGGCAGGGTTCGCATGGCGGCCCCGCCCCAGTGTGGCGCACCCCTCACACGGTTCGTGGCCACATTGGGAATTCTTTTTGCTTCGTCCCACCTGCCCTGCGGTATTCACGTTTGCATATGGTTGGGTCCTTCGCCAGGATAATTTCCCATACTTCCTTAGAGTAGATTCATCGTGTCTGTATATCTTTCCCCCTCCTGACAGACATCCGAGCACGGGAGGTTTCCAGCGACCAGCCCCAAGGGTCCCGACCCCTGCCTTTCCGCCCCGGAGCCCGCGAACGGCCCCCAGGGGCTGAAAACTCTGGGGCAAACGCTCCGACGGAAAACGTCACTACATCGTTGGAAATCTGGGACGCCGCGAGCTCCCCTCCTCCTCCTCCTCCTCCTCCTCCTCCTCCTCCTCCTCCTCCTCCTCCTCCTCCATCTCCTCCATCTCCTCCATCTCCTCCTCCTCCCCCTCCTCCTCCTCCTCCTCCTCCTCCTACTTTTCCTCCTCCTCCTCCTCCGCCTTCCCTCCTCCTCCTCCTCCTCCTCCTCCTCCTCCTCCTCGGCGCCCTGACCACAGAGGGGTCGGCAGGGCCGGCGCGAGAGCCCCCCGCATACACCAGAAGCGCTGGCCCCGCGGGCCGCTCGCGCACCTCGGCCGGGGCGCCGTCGAACTGCGCCGGCGCCCCGGTGCGCGCCAGCTCCGCGGCCAGGACGTCGCGGTCCTGGGCCGGGAGGGCCTCCAGGGCGGCCACGGCGGCGGCCTCGAAGCCCTGCGCCATGAGCGCCAGGCGCATGGAGGCCACGGCACAGCCCTCCACGGCCTCTCTTGCCATCGCTCGGACGTCCATTTCCTGTGCATTTTTCGGTCTCGTGCGTGCTTGTTTTGCTCGATGGTCCAGGATGGTCCTCGATGGTTCTCGCCGGGGGAAAATGCACACGTCCGAGCGATGCCAGGCCTCTGCGGTCAGCCCGAGGGCCAGCCAGCGGCCCAGGAGGTACTCCTCCATGACCTGGACCTCCGAGAAGAAGCTGAGCTGGAGTACGTAGGTGAAGGAGTCCAGGAACGCGTTCAGGACCTTCAGGGGGAACTTCAGCGCGAACTTCTCGGAGCCGGGCCATGGCCTCTCGTCGAAGGGCTCTGCCCCGGCCAGGTCCGTGAGCCAGTGGGCGAAGTAGAAGCTGATGTCAGAATCAGACGCCCCTCCCATGGTGATGACCTCCTTGAACTGTGAGAAGAGGGCACCTGGTGGTGCCTCCCCCTGTACGAGCCAGCCATTGTTGAAGCCCATTTTGCCCTGCGTGAAGAACACCACAGCACGCTGGGCCGGCCCCAAACCGTGGAAGCTGGGCAGCAAGCCAGGAAAGTGTTCCATGATGTACATGAGCGCAACGTCGTGGTCGCTGATGAGATCGCCCTCGCCGATGCCGTGGTACGGCGCGTGCATCGCGTGGACCGTCGGCAACAAAGAAGAATTCTTCATCACGTCATGGATCGCCGTCAACGCAAGGAACGCTGTCATACGCTCGACATCGACCCGAACCCGGGTCCTCCCAACATGAATCCCGGACGCGCCAGTTGACCGTTTGCCCATAGACAGACCTGATACGGCGGTTATGCTGCTGCCCACGGTAGTTCCCGTGGCAAGCACTTGATCTTCCGCTCTATCGATCGATGGGCGGTCGGACGGTGACATTGGGGCTGACGCCTTGTGTAGGACAGCGGCATCCGATGACGGCCCTGATGCGGTCCCATAATCTTTATCTACAAAACCCCCGGTTTTCACCGGCCGCCTCAAGAGAAGGCCAGCCCGGATAAATAGCTCCAGCATCCGATCCCAGTCCATCGACTTGTAAAACATGTGCCTCTTCTCGTCTGGGTCGCATCCAGCAGAGGCCGTGGCCCTGACTGCTTTTCCCTGCGCGTCGACACCAAACGATAATATGTCTTTACCATCTATATCAAGGCGAGCAATGCAATATACAGAATATAACGCTCCTAATGTACGTTGGTACTCCTCAGAACCAGTGCGCCCAGAGGAAAACCTCGATCCCATGCTGTAGAGCTGCATCTCGGGGAAAGCAGCTGTCACATCTGTGCGAAAATCGTTCAGGGAATACTCGGGATCTCGCAATCTCATGGCCGCCGTTGCTGCGCTGTCCCAGCAAGTGGGCTTCCCCCACATCGCCTGCGAGACGGCCCCGTGCGTGGGGTCGCTGTCGTTCCCGACATTCTGCGGGAAGAGGTAGTTAGGCAGGAACGGCCGGAAGACCCGCAAGCTGTCGACCAGCTGCTCGAGATGCGTGCAGATTGGAAGATCCTCGCTGTCGGGTCTCTCCTCTAGCAAGCTCTGCGCACCCTCCAGGTCGAAATTGTTCAGGGCCTTGGCGACCTGGGAGGCCAGCTCCACGGAGGCCCTGCTGCGCTTCGAGTCCCGGCGCTGATCCCGCGAGTACGACATGATCAGCAGCAGATTCAGCAGGACAGGAACGATATTGCAGAGAAGCTGGCTCGACAGATCGTAGTCGCTGCCATGGTCGATCAGGTGAATTTGTGGGCCGATTCCATCCACAGAGCAAGTGTGGAAGAAAACGTACACCACATATGCAAGGAACAGAGCAATGGACAAGCCGTGCAAGGCCGACTCGTCCTCATCTGACTGCATGACCGCGATAAAATCAAACACCAACACGGCGAACATGTGCCATGAATCAAGAGGGCGCCCCGTGATTGCAATGAACGCACCAATTGAGATCATCCCTAAAGGAAACGCAACCTTGAAAAACCTGGTCAACCCCCAAATTCGCTGATGCATCATACCTGATATAAACAGACCAGCCATTGCCCCAAGCTTGATGTTTGTGATAGCAAATGGCGGCCCGATGCCCTCAATCAGCACAGGGGCGAGGTTCAGGTATCCAGCGATCGCAATCAGACACACCAAGGCTGCAGTGCATAGCCTGGCCACGAAGAGATTCTTGGTCATTTCTTCGTCTTTGATCTCCTGCTCGCTTGGTAGCCTCACAGGGCCTCGAATTTCCCGCCCGGTCAGCCTAAAGCTCCAAGAGTGACTCCCAAACGTGCCCCAGGACATGGACAAAGACATTGGGCAGGCGCGGCTCAACAGCTACGTCGTGCGGCAGTTCCCACGCGGGTGCGGCGAGGGTGCTGGTGGAATCCGATAGCCAACATAGACCCAAGCCTGTGAGTTGAGCCAGAATTGTCATACAATTTGGAGGCAACTACTGGGAGGTCTTCGCCGGAAAGAATTAAAAGGATTAGGCCCCATTGGGGGCTGCTACGCTCGAATCGGCCGCGCATTAACCGGGATGAAGCCGGATTCAGCGGGACTAAGCCGGACTAAGCGGGATTACGCTGGATTCAGCCTGATTTCGGACCAGGGCAAAGTCAGAGTTTGACCTCCCAGGAGGTGCATCCGAAATGAGGGGGGGGGTGCGGAGGAGGAATATGAGAAACGTCGAAGTTCACAACCTCATGGATCGCAAGAGTTCCACAGCACCAGACTAAAAGATCGGCTTCTCGCCGGAAACCTGAACTGGTAGCGCGCTGGTGAGGGGCGAGAACACACAATGATAAACAATTCGGTCTCTGTTCTCTACCCTCTACGTCCTACTCGATTGCTCGTCCTCAGCACAATTCGACTCGAACCGTCACCGAGACCAGGGTTGTCTCCCCTTCCGCGTTAGTTTTCTCCTACCTGTCTGGCGCGATGGCTCATACGAAATATCAATTCCGCCGACCCCAGAGGCGTGTGAGGGAGCCGTCCTGGCAGGTCACTGTGTCTTCTCGTGCGCTCTATTCTTCTGCGTCGACCCGCTGCCTGGTCCCGTCTCACAATCCCCTAGCTCAAGCCGGCCCTCACTACCCACCAGGTAGCTTCCTCGACCGACACACCCAGATCCGATCCCGTTGTAGCACCTGGTGCGGAACTTCGGGAGCGGCCAAGAGGGGGATGTCCAAGAGGAGGGGGGTGCAAATCATGACCAGCGGCATGTGCGCGGCCAAGCGGGGGGGCCAGGGCCGTAATGAAACAAGAAGAGGCGCCATGACATCTGGGGAAATATCATGCCCCCCGCCATGATGTCCACCCCCCCCTAGTCATCACCCCCCTCTTCTCCGCCCCCGATCTCTGGGGGACAGAGAAGTACGATCCAGGATCGTTGTTCCTGGCTCCCCCGGGCTGGCAACTTCGCCCTCGGACACGACGCCGTTGTAGCCCACGGCTTGGCGCTCCCAGGGCCTGCCGGATCATGGCTCCTACACCCCCACCAGCAGCAGAGTCGCGCCCAGCATAAGCATCAGCATCATCAGCTTCAGCATCGGCATCATCCTCCTCATCCTCCTCCTCCTCCTCCTCATCATCATAATCAGCATCATCATCATCAGCATCATCATCATCAGCATCACAATCATGATCATTGTCATGATCAGTATTGTTGATATTAGTCTTAGTCTCATTATTATTAGTAGTATCGTTACTATGGTTATTCGTATTATCATTATTAGGGTTAGTCTTATTAGTATCATTATTATTATCATTATCATTATCATTATTATTACTATTATTATTCATAATAAAATTAGTATTATTAGTATTATTATGATTATTGTTATTATTAATATTATTATTATTACTATTATTCTCCTCCCTGTCTACTCCCACTTCGGTACCCCGCGCCTGTTGGATCATTTCCCTCAAAAGCGTTCGGGGCCCTGCGACCCGACGCGACGACAGCACAGGTGCTCGGTGCGCCTCCCGTCGCTTGGCCCACGGCGACACTTTGTGCCCTTCGGCAGCTCGCCCCCTGGACTCCCACCATGGAGCCGCTGCAACGCCTCGCCGACTTTCCCGCCACGTCGCGCCCGGATGCAACACGGGGGGCGGTCCCTTCGGCCCCCAGGGGGAGGAGGAGGAGGAGGAGGAGGAGGAGGAGGAGGAGGAGGAGGAGGAGGAGGGGGAGGAGGAGGAGGAGGAGGAGGAGGGAGGAGGAGGAGGAGGAGGAGAAGGAGGAGAAACGGAGGCGGGCCCCCTGCCCCCCTTTTTGCAGCCGGCCCCGCCCTCCCGCCCCACGGCCAAGAGGGGCCCCGTCGCCTGGCTGAGCGGGCGCGGCAACCACCGGAAGCCACCCCCCGTGGGGGGGGGGCCCCGGGCGGCCCCCGGTCGTTGGCAGCTGCCTGGGGCAACGGGCTCGTGCAGAGTGCCCGGGAAAGGTCTGCCCTGACGGGGCGAGCGGCGCGGCGGCCGCTGCGCAGACGCCGCTGCAAGGGAAGGGCACCCCTGCCCCCAGGGCGGGGGGGCCGTGAACGGCGGAAGGAGGCAGGGGCAAGCTGGGGGGACGCCCCAGAGAAGGAGGGGGGCCGAACCAAAGGGCGAGCACAGCCGAAGGAACGGGTAGGCGTGCGGGGAAAACGATGAGTACTTTGAGCGTTGGGGCGGGGGCGGGTTCAAAATGAAACTGCCTTTTGCGGACGCCGGATACACAAAAACAATCGCCGTCCAACAAAAACGCGCACCCCCCAAAAAAACCAGGCAACATACGCATACACACATGAGAGCATTTGAACAAACATGAGCCTCCAACGGTGTTTTTCCAACGTCGGTGGCGCACTCGGCGTACTTCAACTTACGTTGTGCAACACACGTTGTGCAATCTACGCTGTGCAACACATGTTGTGCAATCTGTGTTGCGCAACCAATGTAAACAATATATGTGATGCAATCTACATGGTGCAAGTCACCCTGCCGCAATTCAAGCTGCCAGCGCCAGCGCGCACGCAATCATCCCACTCAACCATCCGAAACTTGGTTTACAAACCCATGCGGCAGCAAGTGTGATGAGTCCTCGGTGTTGGCTGGCGCATCACTGCGGCCGCGCTAGCGCGCGCTGGCTCGCGCGCAGACTGGCCAGCGAGTCTGGCATGACCAACGCGGCCGCGGTGGCGCTAACCTCTGAGGACTCCCCGATGCATCCCGCAGGCTGCAATGACGCGCGGACACTCCAGTGCGAGTCGGTGACTGAGGCAGGCGCGGTATTATAGCGACGCCGACAACGGCAGACACGATCATGATAGTATCGAATGCCGGCGGAAACGATGACGCTCACGACGGCAAGGCCATTGACGGCGCCGATGCTGATCACGCCAATGACGATGATGGTGTGCAAGTGACAAGTGACAGCGATAAAGATTTGGACATGATTTTGACATGCGCGCGCTGCCGACGGGCGCGAGGGGCCCGCATGGCACGATCTGCAAGGCATCATGCCCCCATGTCCCCCCAGCAAGTGCGCAAACGAATTCGACTGATTTCGCCGTGCGCGCGCCGGCGTGCGAGGAGGCCCGCTCGGTTGCATTTGGCGCAAACGGTTTGCATTGTTTCGGGGGAGAACCAGCGCGAAAACTGCAAGGGGTCGCGATGGTGCGCGCAGGTTTGCATGAAACACGTCGTTGCAATACCAATGTTCGATTAACAAATAGCATATGTGTTCGGGAACCTCGACCTTGACATCCTTCCGAAATATGAATGCTGAAAACCTTAGAAAAGCGCGCGACAACGCGCGCGTGGACTTTCACACTTGTTGGATGGGGTAATCGAGAAGTTGTTTGTTGATAAACGAGCGCGCGCATCCGTTTATTGCCACGGGTGCGGGGGGGCGGCGATACTGGCCTGCCTGGGATGAAACCAATTCATGTTTGAAATGCACGACAAGGCAAAATCATTTGTAAATTGCAATGCGCGTGGCTGGACCGATAATCCTAGCGCTGGAAAGTTGTTGCCTGGCGCCCCGCTATCTGGGTTTGGGATTCCATCACTTGCAATGCGCGTGGTTGGCACGCGAATCCCAGAAGGTGGGGGTGGAAGAAGATCCAGATTCCTGTTCGGAGACAGGAGAATACAACTGGTGGGATAGGTGTATACGTATATGTATAATGCTTTGTTTAAGCTGTGCCATAAATGTGGCGCCATCTATGCGGTAAACAATATTTGCCGTGCGATCGACGTGGTGCAACCTATGTGGTGAAACCAATCACTTGCTCAACTTGAAGCTGTCCTCTCCACTGCTCGCGCAAACATCCCACCCTCCCACCCGCAACTTGGTTCGCAAAACCTCTTAAGACCGACTACGACGACACCGACGACAACAACGACGACGACACCGACGACGTCTCCGACGATTTCAACGACGACAACGACGCCGACGCCGACGACGACGAAGACGACGACGACGCCAACGAAGGCGACGACGAGGGAGGAGGAAGGACGACGACGGCGACAACGACGACAACGACGACAACGACGAGGGAGGAGTGAACACGGCGACGACGCGAACGACGACGAAGGAGGAAGGACGGCGACGCCGACGACGACAACGACGAGGGAGGAGGGAAGACGACGACGACAACGACGACGACGACGGTGACGAGATAGAACCGACGACGAGACGCTGACGACGGACGACGACGACGACGACGTGGGAGGAGGAGGAGGACGGACGACCACGGCGACAACGACGACGGAAACGACCACGACGCCAAAGAGGACGACGACGACGAACACGAGAAAAGACAGAGGATGACGTAGGCGACGACGACGACGACGCGGGAGGAGGGAGGACGGCGACGACGACGACGACGACGCAAGAGCGCGCGCGCACGCTTTTGTTGAAAATCCGTGTTGCGAAACCTTTGGTTTTTGTAGGTTTTTTGGACGCACGATTTTGAAATCCTTCCGGAACCGTTGGGTTTTGAAGGTTTTCGGCAGACGCCCGCGACGAGGCGCGCGTCTGCAGTTCGTCCCGTTTTTTGCAAAGGATTCTCGCGACGGCACACGCGCAAGGGCGTCCGACAGATTTCGACATGCGCGCGCGCGAAGCCCGTTTGGTAGCATGTTGTGGACAGATTGAAAAACCTACGGTTTTCTGTAGATTTCGCAAGAGCTCGCGCGGAAACTTTTTTAGCAAATCAGTGTTGCGAAACCCTGTGTTTTGCATTTGTTTGGAAACTCGATTGCAAAATCCTTCCAGCACCGAAGGTTTTTGAAGGATTCCCGCATGCGCGCGCGACGACGCGCGCGTGCGCACTTCGTCCCGTTTTTTGCAAGGAATTCGTAAAACAAGTGCTATGTTAGAACAACAAATGTCACCGCATAGTGTTGTTTTTTACAAAAGGAACCTCAGGGGGGGGAACC